TAAAGCAAGTCAGCTGCTAGGACTATTTGTTGAGAGTTAATCAGGTTTGCAGATTATCTCTAAGATCCTTAACAGGACATGCTTATATGCAAACACAAGAAAAACACATAACTGAGAAATGAAAGATGACGCTTATGATGGAGGCAGAACAGCAAAGGTGAAAAGGAAGAAAATAAGGGTGAAGTGTAACCAAAAAGCCTCTTAAATTGCCCAAAGCAAAAGTGAGAGGGAGGCTGCATTAGCAAAGCTGTGAATTGGCAGTATTAGCAGATGATGAATGTGGTCATGTTATCTAATATGGTAGAACACACTTCATGCCTATTTACCAGTATTCTTTACGTGGTATTTGTCACTGCTCCACAGCTAGAGGTTATTTCTAAAGCCATGGGTAGCAACAGAAAGGTTATTATTTAATTCCACGGCTTTTGACTGGAGGTTACATATACAGAGAAACCTACAAAGCGTTGGTAGCAAAAGACTTCCACACATTGCCCATTTTCAGACCTCAGGTGATAAAGCAAGTCAGCTGCTAGGACTATTTGTTGAGAGTTAATCAGGTTTGCAGATTATCTCTAAGATCCTTAACAGGACATGCTTATATGCAAACACAAGAAAAACACATAACTGAGAAATGAAAGATGACGCTTATGATGGAGGCAGAACAGCAAACAGATACCATCTAGCTGGGAAAGCAACAGAGGGAGGGCACATACAGCCATTGGGTCAGGCAGAGGGATAATGAGCTCTGTCATCTTTTCAGAGCAGGTATTTAAACTCTGTATCACTGTTCTCTTCTCCCTGAAATGGAAACTGCTGACCCGTAAGAGCATTATTGGTAATTATTTTTTGCATTGCAATAGTATCTCCAAAATCTACTCAGGGATCAGCATCTCCCCCATTTCCAGACAGGCAAAGTGTCTCCACACAGGCTTATATGCCTTGAACCCCCTGAATCAGAGCTGCAGATTTTCACTATTATTTTCTTGGCCAGGAAAGAAACTTAAGGTAACAGAGATGGTACCAAACTGAAATGTCTTGATTAAGCAGCAGGCTTCAAGGAAGAGCTTTAGTTTGGTAGAGCTGAACACATCTACTGGGCTTTAGGCATCCCTCTGCAGGCTGGACCAGAGATCATGCTGTCCAGTTCTCTGCTCCCAGCCCTGCTCACTTTGAACTCTGAGGGAGCTGGGAAGGTTGCACAGGGGCTGTGTGATCACCTGGCAGATCATTTCTCCAGCCTCTTTCTAGCCAAGAAGCCACATCATTGCCCATTTCCTACCAGATGGACAAGACCCAGCAGGCTGAGCTTGGCTTAGACTGCAGCCCTCCCCAGGCTGGCTTGAAGGAGGTGAACTTTTTTTCTGGGAATGCAACTGGGAAAATGAAAACAGCTCCTCTTCCCAGCAGTCTGTGTGGCAGGTGTGCCTTTGCACTTTGCAGGAATGGGCCAGGGCAATTCTGCAGCAGAACAAAGCCCTGTTAGAGAAGAACAAGTACCTGAAGCTGCAGCACAAGTTGCTGACAAACATGGTGCAGTTCAGCTGTGTCTGCTGGAAAGGAAAGCACAGGGGTTGGGCTGGCACCATGGAACTTAAAAGTCAGGCAAGCTGATGATGTTTGAAAGCTAGCAGAAATCAGAGACATAAGACCTGGACGTTTGCATGTGTAAAATACATACATAGTTGTTTCCTTGCTCAAGAAACCTAATGAAATCCAGCACCAAATGTTTTCAGCAACATTTTAATCCCTTATGTCATTCTTTGAAAGTGCTCACGCACCGTGGGACTGCCCTGACTTGCAAATGCACTTTGCAGAGATGGTTTCTCGGGAAAAGATAACAATTGTTGCTGATAACAATTACTCTACTTAAATTGTTAATTGTTCTCATATTTCAAACACTACATATACGTTGGCTAATTAAAACTCTTCAGGTAACTACTGCTGTCTTTGCCTCTGCTGTTCAGTCACATCCCTCCCCTAGAAGTGGCTGTACCCAACTTCCTGTTGGATGTCTCAGGTTTCAAGGCAGGCAGGTATTTTGCCTCCACTTAATAGCAGTTACATATTTGCAAAACAGTCCTATGACCTTTCTTGTAACACTGGACGAATGTGCATCCAGCAGAACTTATTCCTGGTATGAACACAGGATGATTCTCATCTCCTAAGGGACCTCTAAAGAGAAAACTTACGTCAGAATGCTGTTTGACTACAATAAACATATGATCAAGAAAATCTGGGGCAAACCAGGCTATATCACTGAAAATTAGATAGCAAGAAACCAGCCAGTACAGCCCACTTCAAAGTCATGAAGTCACATGAATCATGATGCATAAACAACAGAGAACTCCTTTTCCCTCATTACCCAAATTCAATAATGGGGACTAAAACGACTAATCAGACTAATGACCCACAGTAAACGTACCCCAGTCTGTGGTTATTAATATGCGTTAACAGAATACAAAAATTACCATTTACTCACTGTTAGAAATGCAAAGGCTTCAACAGGGATTAGCAAAGGGATTCGCTTCACACTAACCACTCAGGTCAGAAACAAAGCTGTGAATAGATGCCACACCTCCTCAGTCCTAAGGTCACCAGTTATCTGTTCAATCGCGCTGGCTCCCTTACAGCTATTTTAATCTAAAGTTGTTTCAGCTAATGGTTCGTCGTAACAGTGTTTTGCAGAGCGGATTGGTCTAGGCCAGGGGACTACAGGGTGCAGAGGCGATGAGAGAGAGTGGCGACTCCTATCGCCCCTCCAGGGCATCTAGAAATCTCCGGTCGGAGATCCAGCAAAGAAAACTGCCCGCATCTCAGCCCAGTCACTCTGAAGGCAGGATCTGGAAAGGTTGGGCTTGGCAGATTTTCAGCCGCTGCTGTTACTACCCGCATTGTTAGCATTTCCGCGCCAGGGCCTGCAAACAGCGTTATTTACAGAGTGCGCGGCAGCCCGGGGAAGGCCTTCCCCGCAGCCCGGCCCCGGCCTGCCCTGCCACCACCTTGGCGCGGGGCCTCCC